ACAGATGGAAAATTGTCCCAGCAGTGATGTGGTGGACCATTTGGAAGGAGAGAAATTTGAGATGTTTTGGAAGTGTTAGCAGTCCTCTGCATAGGATTAAAATAAACTGCATTATCACTTTTTGCTATTGGTGTAGTTCGGAATATATAGATGTTCCTGTAGCGATTGTAGACATCTTAGGATCCTTGTAAGATGAGATAGGACCTAGAGATAGATTTTCTTTTTTAGGGGGTTGCTGAGCCTACTCAGTTGTAAGTAGCTCTGTGATGTAAATTTTTGGGATACCAGCCTTAGTTCTGAAGATTTTTAAAAAAACTTCATAGTTTGTCAAAAAAAATAAGATCTTCATTGGTAGTTAGGCTTACAAACATAGGTAAGATATTGAAGAATTCAGCAACCTCATTCAGCTCCTAGTTGTTTTTACGTCTCTTCTGAATTTTATATTCGAACTTATGCCTTCCCAACATCATGGTACTGTGAATTCTTTGTCAAGTACCAATCTATATATTACAGGGAAATCTTCTCTGCTGGATAGATGACCCAACCATTTAATTTACCAAAAAGAAAATTTCCTTCCATTACCTATCGTGAAGTCAATATGCTGTGAGAAAACATGCCATAAGGAGCATATATTTCTCCAGAAATAATTCTTTGTGGAGGGGCAGCTCTTTAGTGCATCATACACTTAAGAACGAAATTTCTCTGCTATTACTTCCTCTACAAGGGGTCAGCTTCCACACGGAATCTCTAAAGCCACTAAAGGCTTCTTATTTTGTATCCTTACGTCTTAATGCGCAATCCTCCTTGCTCCTTGAAGGGGGGACTAATTTACGTTAATGGAGGACCCAACAAACAAAATGAAGTTCATAATAGAAGTTTGATTGGCAACTTCAAGGATGTGGATACATCAACCCTCTTAGAGATCATAAGATGGTCCTCGAGCATGTGGAAGCAATTCTTTGGGCTGAACATTTGTGAAATGAGAAATAGACTTTCCAATTTGAGTTTGCTTCGAAAGCAGCGGCAGAACAAGTGATGAATGGTGATTGGCTTTGGAAACAAATGCATATCAGTTTCCAGTGGTGGAGCCATCAAAAAAAGCAAAAGCTTATTCAACACGGGTTAGAATTGTTGGCCTGCCCCTCCATCTTTGGTCGCAGAAAAGTTTCAAGGTCATTGGAAATTTTTGTTCCAGCTGGATAGAAACAGAGGAAGAAACACAACTAAGAAATCATCTTAAGTGGACCAGAATCAAAATCCTTGGAGATTGAACATCTATTCCAAAGGAAGTGACTACCGAGAGTGGTGAATTTTTCTTCACAACTCAGATCTGGGCTGAAGCTCCGATAAGATTTCACGTTGGAGAAGGGGTGCATGTCTTGGACCAACTGATATTGAGGGAAATACAAAGGCTAAAGAAGCAGCTCACAACAGCCTGTCTCTTGAAATGTAGGTGCTCCCAGCACGTGTGCCTACACGTGATGTACTTCTTAAAAAGAATTTGGGCCAGCCCAACATATCTTATGCTGAAGACACAAACAGCGTCCCAGATTTTCTCTCTCTGGACCAAACTCGTTTTTCCCAACCATCAGCCTCATTTAGTAAACACGCTATTTCACATGAAGCTCTTAGAACCCCTTCTAAATAGCTGAACGATCTTAAAGCTTTGGCTTCTAATTTCTTGGAAGCGCTTAAAGACTGGGAATCATCTGCAACAGAAATTGGAAACCTAAAGAAGATTGCAAACACCACAAACAACAAATAGTCTCACTCGCAGAAAGAGCAAAGCACAAAGATTAATGAAATTGACCAGAATGTTGTATCTCTTAAGTTCTCAGAAGGAAAAGAAACAGATGAAGACACCTTCGAGACAGAAACTATAGGAACAAACATGAAGCTACAACAAATTCATGATGTTGAACATGTAGCCACAAAATCCGATTGACCAGGAAGAAACTGAGATAGAGGCATCAAATTAGGTCAATTCCCACATTCTAGAATTGAGTAATACTTATGGGGTAGCTTTTGAGGGCTTTGAAATTGAGACCTAGCAATCCTCATGAAGATTGATGAGAGAAAGGTTGCACCGGGAAAAAAGGGCCAAGGGAAACCTAGCACGACACCTAAAAGCAGGGGGTTGGTTGGAAAGAATGAACTAAAAAATCTTCAATCCAGTCTTGACAAAGAGGTAGTTGGTGGCCGGAGTAGACGGAGAGTTCTCACTTTGACCTTTTAAGGAAAGTTAGTCCTGTCACTTGGAATGTAAAGGGACTTAAATAATGCTTCCAATAGAAATCTTGGTAAGTATTCTTTGCAGAAGTGGAAGGCGGATGTATACAGATTTTAGGAAACTAAGGTGAGTAAGGATGTGGAGGGTATTGTGAAGAAACTATTGTCTTGTAGGTTGACGAGATGTGGCTATATAGAAGCTGATGGTAACATGGGGGGATTTTGGTTATGTGGGATGACAGAATTTGGGTTGGTACCATGATGGTCGTAGGGAAATACTCTATTACATACAATTTCTTCTCGGTGCAAAACTCTTTTACTTGGTATCTCACTGGGGTTTATGTACCCCATACCAGAGGTGAAAAGTTAGAATGTTGTGAAGAAATTGCACCAATGAAGAAACCATATGAGGGTCCCTGGATTTCCTATGGGGACTTTTAATAATATAGATACATAAGCGAAAGAAGAAGATGCAATAGGATCACAAATGTTATGTCTGATTCTCTAAGTGGATAGAAGATCTAGAGCTTCATGACCCCCACATGGATGGGAGGAATTTCACATGGTTCAGGGGAATCAAGTACCAAAGTGCCGCCAAATTAGATAGATTTTTCTATTTAATGGATTGAGAGGAAGTTTTTAAAAATATCAACCATAAGATACTACCTAGAGTGACTTTTGATCATAGCCCGATTATGTTTGAATATGGGAACTGGGAGCATAAAATTTCTTACTTTAAGTTTGAAAATTGGTGGCTCAATGTGGAAGGCTTCAATGATATGGTATAGAGATGGAATGGATTTGTAGTGGAAGGTTGTCCAGATTACAAATTTAGCATCACGCTAAAGATGTTGAAACAAAAACTCGAAGTCTGGAGTAAAACAACCCTCTTTGAGTTTTCCAATAAGAGGAACAACTTGTTAGAGGAGCTGGCTGAAACTGATAGAACTCAAGATAACAGGGACCTGACTGAAGATGAAATGATGGTAAGAGCAACAATATTCGTGGAATTGGAGGTACTGGCCAAGAATGAGGAGGCTAGTTGGAGGAAGAAATCAAGAGTTTTATGAAACAAGGAGATAACAATACGAAAATTTTTCTACTGAATAGAAACAACTCACAGAAGATAAAATACTATTGCTAGGTTGGTGGTGGGGGAGGGGGGTGAGGAAGTTCAGGACCCTGCAGAGATTAAGGTGGCCATGATAAACTTTTACAAAGATCTATATACTGAATCAGTCTTTGAATGCAAAATCTTCAACTGACAGAATATCAAAATGAAATGTCTAAGCCTTTTAGTTTTTTTGGTGTAAACAGAATAGGGTGGGGGACATAGTAACTCGAGCTGATTTCATAGGCAAATTGTAAAGCTTTTTAGTTTTTGTGAAGGATGTTTCATACCCATTGTGGGTTGTAAGTGCCCCACCTCATCATCCTTTTGATGATGATTTTTTGTGAATACACTGTTACTTTCTTAAAATAAATGTTTCTTCCAAGGTGGGATCATATCAGATTTAGATTTTGAACCCAGTAATTCTTCCTTTAGCCATAGGGTTTTCCCCATTCGCCAAGCTCTCCTCTAACCGCAACTTATCAGTCTGTCCCACCAAAGGACCAGTGGACCACATTATCAGTGGTCTTTCATCTTCTCTAGAGGATCCTTAGACTTAAATCATACCACCTGAAAATCACATTGTTGGCGGCACTGCAATGGCCGGAATTTCCTTCCAGCCATTTTCCTGCAAACTATTGCTGTTCTTTCTACCCATATAGGAATCTTGAAGATCCTCTAATTCCACTTCTATCAATGACCGCATAAAATCTGGTGGCTCTTCGACTCTCAATCTAGTCCATTGGAGTTGATTCCTCAAAGGTGTTTTTTCCTCAGTTTCTAACCACCCACTGTACTTCTTCTCAATCTCTTTAAACATCTTATCAGACCTGAGACCACAATTATAAAGGTATCCCTAGTAATCTGATCCATACTGATTCCTGTCTAAATGTTTTTCGAAAAACAGGCTATCTTCAATAACTGCCATCGAAAATACAATGCCAAAATTTTCCAGCACCATTATCCATTCTGACTCTTTGTGCTTCCTCCTCTGATGGTAATTCAGATATGAACTTGAATCATTCATTTTAAATACACTGACCCTCCAGATACTTCCCAAATTTTCTGTACCTATCTTGTTATATCTGAGCATGTTCGGATTTCTCTCCTAAGATCTACAAAGTTGCCTACCAAACAGTTTTGAAGAGATTCTGACCTCCGTTGAGTAGTGTTGGAGTCCTCATATAATTTAGTGAGTGCTTTTCACCCCAGGTCTTCTTCCGACAACCCCTTTGGCTTGACTGTCTCTGAAAACTCCCTGGTTGGTTACCATGTAGTTGTCTGGCCTTTTATGTGAAATAATCTCTTTTGCAACATCAACCCAGCCCACATTGTGTGAGAGTTCGGGATGATAATACTACTCCTCCAAACTCCTTGTTCCGCACTGATGATTATGAATCTGCCTTGGATGTCACAATATATTCAATATCCTCCCTACAAGGAAGGAGACCTAGTAAACAGGGAGCAAGAACTTTTGATAGTTCTAATAGGTCTACAAGTTTGACATTTAAATCCTGTTAGGTACCTCACTTACTTTTGAATGGTGAAAGTGCTTTTTTCCCCTTTCTGTAGTCTATCCAAGGACAATGGTCTGAGTAGCCAGGGAACATGTTGCCCATTAATCTATCCTCATTTGTTCTGTGGTTCTTGATATATGCAGGACATTGCTGTTGTTCCTCTTTTAGTCATTCTACCGGTGCTGGAGACCCAGGTACGTGGATCTTGGAAACTTCAAATGTCTATAAATTTTCTTCAATGCAGTTAGTTGGAAAATATTCTTCTTAAAATTTGTCTCTAAGCATCATTATGGTAACGACTTAGATAATTTTTTTCCCGTTATGTATGAGAGGTAAAAACATCTCGTCATGGATGATATGTTAAATTGCAAGAGTTATCAATGAGTCTCTATTAGATAATTTAGTTCCCAACTTAGACAAAATTTCCTCAGATGGTGTATATTTGGTAACATCCCTTGTATTTTACACAGACGTGGGATCAAGCTGACGGACATGCCATTTGTTGTCTCTATCCCTGCTGCTGTATATGTTTATGACTGTTATTAGAATTATTTTATCTTCAATCTCTGCAGAATCTGATAGAAGAAAGTATTTGGCCAATGCTTGCACAAGAAAGTCTTAAGGCTTTAGGTGGACTGGGGTTGCTTTCTTTTGGAGGGAAATACATATGGAGGCGAGTTTTTGAGGTGCTCATCCTTGTCTTTGGCCAAGAATAACATGTAAATCAGGGGAGAATATAGTTACAGTGAATAAATACACTTCTATTTTTACAACTGAAACAATAGATCATTTTTATCGGTCATAGGTTGTTGCAGAAACGAGAAGTTCGGAAGCTTTTGTTGCACTTTGTCTTTTGACTGTTGCAGGAACATCACTATTAACACAGAAGTTGGGCTTTAGTGACACGGTCAGATACCCTTTTGAAAAAAGTAATACCAATTGACCCAGATAGCAGTTGAGTTCATCATTTGATATTTACCCATGGTGCAGCTTGGAGCATTTTTAGCTGGGGCTCTGCTTGCAGAAACAAATTTCCGTACTCAGATTGAAGCTGATATAAGGCCATTCAGAGGATTACTTCTTGGCTTATTTTTTGTGACTACCGGAACTTCTATTGATATGCAGGTATTTTCTCATAAGCATGACCTTCATTATGTACTACAGGATGCACTTTTTTGGGTCTTTAACCCTTCCTCTAATTGCATATAATTTTTAACCTCATGCCAGCTTCTATTCCGGGAGTGGCCAAATGTGCTTTCTCTCTTGGCTGGCCTGATTGTTATCAAGACATTGATCATAACGGCAATAGGTCCCCGAGTCGGACTATCCCTTCAGGAGAGTGTGAGAATTGGATTTCTTCTTTCTCAAGGAGGAGAATTTGGATTTGTTGTCTTTTCTTTAGCGAATAGGTGAGTTTCATCTGAAGTTGTGTGAAATAGAATAATTTTCTTCAACTGATAAACACAACCATTTTACTGTAGGCTTGGAGTGCTTCCCCTCGAGTTGAATAAACTGCTTATCATTGTTGTTGTACTGTCTATGGCACTGACTCCATTACTCAATGAAATTGGACGAAGAGCTTCTGAGTTTGTTGGCGAGAAGTTTGACAATGAGGATGTAAGTCTTTTACTAGTCCCTGGGATATGAGTGTATGTAATGAAATTGATTTATCCATGAGCAATCTCTCTCTCTCTCTCTCTTTGAATTTTATCTCATTGCTTCATCTCTCTGAATCATGAAATTTCACATATGCACATTGAGATTGCTGTAGCAGCGAATAAGCTGTATTTTAGTTTCAGTAAACATGTAGGACGAAACTTCGTATTCCTGTGTCACATATAGCCTAGTATGATATTTGATTGCCTCATCTGTTAAGGATAAAAAAGATGCTTTGTTGTCTCTTTCTCTTAAGGTGATTTGAAATAGAGAAGAGTTATTATCTCAGGTCCTCGAACTCTTGGAGTCTCTGACCAACATGAATCAGAAGTTATTGTTCTTATAACTACTAATGTAATTCATGATCATCTCAGAGAACTGCTGAAATGGAAAACTTTGATCTGAGTGAACCAGTAGTCATCCTTGGATTTGGCCAAATGGGTCAGGTAATGCAATTGTGGGATCACTGTTAGTAGGAAGAACCCCTGCTTTATTTTTCTGATAATTTGTTTTTCCATCTTCACACAGGTCCTTGCCAATTTATTATCAACACCACTAGCTTCGAGTGACGGGGAGGAGTTGCAATACGTTGCTTTTGATCTAGATCCTTCTGTTGTAAAGGTTACTATATATCATAGATTAAGTTGTGTGCTATTACAACAGTGTGTTCTTGTGAACTGGTTAGTGATATTTTGCCCATGTCACTGCAACAGGCTTCTACAAAACTTGGTTTTCCTGTTATCTATGGTGATGGTTCACGTCCTGCAGTGCTGCAGTCTGCTGGAATATCTTCTCCGAAAGCAGTTATGGTCATGTACAGAGGAAAAGAAAGGACCACAGAAGCTGTCCAGAGAATTCGACTAGCCTTCCCAGCGGTACTTCCGCCCTCCCTCCTTGTGTATATCGGGCTGCAATGGAAAATTTAGAGGAAAGGTTAAATTTTACAAATTAAAGCGAGGATAATCCAATTCAAAATGGATAAAAAAAGTTAACATGTCAGAAAAGTAAAAAGCTGTAACCATTCTTGTGCATAGCTGGTGTTGGATACATTAAATACATCTGGATTCTTATGACTCATCATATTGTCAGGTTCAGGGTCTATCAGTTCTGACCTTTTGCTATTTCTTGATTTTCAATTACAGGTACCAATATATGCACGAGCTCAGGATGTGATGCATCTATTACATCTGAAGAAAGTAGGAGCAACAGATGCCATTCTTGAAAGTGCAGAGGTAAAACCATGGCAATTCTTCTCTTCTTCTTTATGTGAATTCTGATCATG